TGCTCTCTACCACCAGGGAAATTCATTTAATCCACCTGACATGCATGCGGCCTATCAGCATACAAGAAGCTGCTGAAATTCTTGTAGAGAGTATTGAACAGAAGCCACTGAAATGAAATTGAGAAATGAATGACTGAGTATGCAAGGTCCTCATGACAATGTCTTTCCCTCTGTACTCATGGTGTCTACTGTGTCATTTTCTGACTACTTAAATTTCAAAATCCAAAAGCACTTCTTTCATTCTAGTGCCTCTTTCAAATTCTCTCACTTTCATAGAGACTTTATTGTCTGGATTTTCCAGGATGAACCAGAGTGGAAGAATCAGACAGTGCTTCCTCTTTTTGTGGCTTCTACCAAAGGGAAAATTAAGATTTGTGAGTCCTAATTCTCTCCCTTGGTTTTAGAGGCAACCAGAATACACACCAGAGTGAAGTATGTGAGAAAATATTCACCCCTTCTGAACAACCCCTTCTGAACAGCACATGAAAGATCTTTGAAGAGCACTAGATTAGAGGTGTAGCCTTAGGTCTTGGCAGGAGGTGATCATAACAGCATGACCAGCATCGTGGAGCAAGATCAAAGCCTCTAGCTCAATGTTTTGCCTTCAGCAGTGCCTACAGACAGATGGCAAGGGACGGGGGGGGGGGGAAGAGAGAAAAGACGAAGAATTTTAAAAAGTAAAACTCAACACCACAAGCACACAGTCTGAGCCTTCCTAGTTTTACCTTCCCATCTTTCAGATCACGTCTGAAGGGCTCACTGTGTATTCACATTTCCTTCTCCAGGCAGGAATCATAGAATCACAGAATCATAGAATGGTTTGGATTGGAAGGGGCCTTTAAGATCATCCAGTTCCAAGCCCCTGTTATAGGCAGGGACACTTTCCTCTAGACCAGGTTGCTCAAAGGAACTTGTAGAGTGTTTCTAATGCAGACAATTATCACAGAAGGAAACCATAATGGAAAATTTAATGTCAAATTCATTCAAGAGGAGTTCCAGTAGGTAGGTGGCTATGCTCAGAAGCAGAATATGGTGAAGACACAAGACTTGCTCTGGTATTTTTTCTGTTTGAAAATCACTGGGGAATGCAAAGACACGAAAGACATCAGGATCTTGGAACACATTTGAAGATGCCCTCTTAGCTCTACTGAATGGCATTGCCAGTACTCTCAATTCTGAACAGGGTGAAATAGTCAAATATTTCCTCACTTTCCTTTCCTAACAGTCTGATTCATTTTCTTTCCCGACTAATTGAGAAATAGAACTTTCTTTGTGGGTATTTGTGCTTTTGCATGTCCTCAGGTACTTGACCTGTTAATCAATCAGACAAAAATCCCATTTTCCATCAGTGCCTCAAGTAAGCAATGCAAAGACATTTTTTAACCAGATGCAAGTAACTGAGTGATTGGATCCTGTGTCCTTTAACCTCATTGTCATTTGAGCTAACCAGCTTCAGTTAATATAGTTTTTCCATTTTCCTCTTTTGTCAAAAATAGCTAATGGATATGACCCAGAGGGATCATTTCATGTAATAATTAAGCCTCCACTTTCCATAAATAAGTTAGAGGATGGTGCCCTGAATTACCCAAACTGGAGTACACTCCTAGAAACTGCATTGTCTCCCCACAGAGCACAGGGGCAGGGGGAATGTCGTGGGTCAGGGGCCACAGTTGAGAGAAACAAGGAGGAAAGATTAGAGACAAGCATGTCATCTGCTCCGGCTGCAACATAAATGAGTGCTGCATAATTGAAAAAGAGAAAGGCTCCCAACCCCAAATCTCTGTGCTGTTCCTAACTGAGCCATGCCTCTATTCTGGAGAGCAGCTAAACCCCATCTTTTATCTAAGTGTGGGAATAATGTCAGATGCTTTCAGCAAATGCCTTAGACAAATTTCTTCTCTTCACTGTCCTTTCATTCTGTTGGTTTGTTTGGCCAGTCAGAGAGGTGTTTATAGACAGAGACACTGAGCGTTTTGCAGTCAGCCCAAATCCCACGCTGCTGAAATGCAAATTGTTTCACCCATAGGAACATCTCTGCCCTGTGGGGACTGCCTGAGGACAGAAGATCTCATCTTCAATACGTATGCTGGAAATCAAAGAGAAGCGAGGTGCAGTGTAGAATCATAGAATGGCCTGGGTTGAAAAGGGCCTGCTGCATCCACAACCTCATCCCTGCAGGCATTCAAGACCAGGCTGGATGTGGATCTAGGCAGCCTGGTCTGGTGGTTGGTGACCCTGCACACAGCAGGGGGTTGAAATTAGATGAGCATTGAGGTCCTTTTCAACCCAGGCCATTCTATGATTCTATGAATTTGGAATGAAATAATGAAATGAAACGAAACGAAACGAAACGAAACGAAACAAAACAAAACAAAATAAAATAAAATAAAATAAAATAAAATAAAATAAAATAAAATAAAATAAATGGTGGGAAAGAGCCCCTCGAGCAGCAATAGCAGCAACCAGGAAAGTAAAATCTTCAGAGATTACAGCTAGGCTAAAGGGATTTCATCTTACGGCATATATTTTTACTTGGGAATGTCCCTGCAAAAATCTCTCTCCATCCCAGAGAGCACAAGCCAGAGCTCTGGAAACATGTCTGATGATCTTTTTCAGCAAAGTCAGATGTAGCTATGTCTGGTAACAGCTTTCAGTTTGGGCAACTAAAAAAGAACTGTAAGGACTGTCCAGGAATAAAGGCAATACGGTATTGCCATCAATGGGGAAGTCAGCATCTGGAAAAACTCTATGGCTGAGCAGGTGTGAGTGCTGCCTGGGCTGTCTGTGTTTCGAACACTGTGGTTTTAAGCTAGGCTATCTGGGAGATGGCCTCCAGAAACCACTTTAAAATAAAACAAACAGAAGCAGCTCCTCTTTCCATTAATATTAATTGCCCAGACGTTACCCAATTTGAAGCGGAAGCCAGGGCCAATTAAGGAGAGCCTCATCTTGAGAAGGCTAATGGAAGACTGGAGCACAACCTTTCTGTACTCTGGAGCTGGGAGACATCAAACCAGCCTCACTGGGGCAGTGGCGTAGAAGGATGAAAAGGGTTTTTGCACTGGAAAGTTTTCTGCTTGGAAGCTCCTTTGTCCAAATATTTTGCTACCAAATCATAACTAAGCTGCTTACTGCCAGAATCATGTACGCTGTTGTGAGCCAATCACAGATGACTTAAGTGGGGAAATGAGACAGAAACACTGGGTGGAGAACTTGGGAGCTTTGGAGCTGGTACCCAGCACTGACACAGTTTCTCTGGGTGGTCTTGGGAATGCCTTGTATGAAGTGATGCAGGAGGAAGACATCCTTCTTTAGTTTTCCCTGAGTTCTCACCATAATCTTTCCACAGTTCATAATCTTCCTGTGCACAGACCATCTCCTCCCCCGTGTATAAATTTACAGGATGAGGCACAAGGGCCACTTGAGGTCATTCTTATATGGCTAACAATATTCATTATCTTCCAGGCATGAGCCAAATCTGGAAGCAATACAGCCTTGATTTGGAAATTTCTGAAAAAAAAAAAAAAAAGAACCTAACATTTTCACCTGATCTTATCTAGACTCCCTGGAGACCACTCCAATAGCAATTAAACATGCAATTGGAAAATGGACTTGAGGCCAACAGAAGGGAATGTACTTCCTGATTGGAGAGAACTGAATAATGAAATTAAATGTCCTAGAACACCCTTGGTCACTCTTTCTTGCTATAATTTATTTATTTAATGGAAATTAACAACTGCACTTGCATATTTAGAGAGTTTCAAGTCAAATTCATGCTGGGGGTATCTTTTGGTACCAAGCAAGAATATTAATTTTTGGCTGTACAAAAAGGAAATAAAAGAGAGTAGATGGAAGAAATTGAGCAAGAGAGAAAGAGAGAAGCAGAGAAAGAAAAAAAGAGACAAAGAGAGAAAGAGAAAGTGAGAGAGAAAGTGAGAATGTGAGAAAGAAAGAGCGAAAGAAAGAGAGGCAGGCAAAAAGGAGGAAGGAAGGAAGGAAGGAAGGAAGGAAGGAAGGAAGGAAGGAAGGAAGGAAGGAAAAGAAAGAATCTTTGGAAATATGACTTTTCAAAAGAATAAATGACAAGGATGATTGGAGACTCAAGCCTTTCTCTTTTCTTTTCCCTGCTCATTTGCTATTTTTGCCTTTGTGGTCCATTTAGCAGGAAGCTCAGCCTTCAAAGGCAGATAGGGCTTCTGCTGCATCTTTGGTGCAGAAATCAAAACCCTACAGATTGTAGAGAGGAAATCCTGGAGTAAAATATCAAGAGAGTCAATGTGCTTGATCCAAAGGGATGCTTGAGAGAAAACATGAATGCAGAATGACAATAAACATATATCAACACAGTTTGGTTAATAGGATTGAAGGGTGATTCTAGTAGCTATACTTTGATTGTTTAAACTGCCAGACTGCATGAGCAAACTTTGATATGAATTTGGCCCATTTCCCTGGTAGAAAGATCATGTAATCGTTATGATTGGAAAAGATCACTAAAATCATTTAGTCCTACCATCAAACCATCACCACCATGCCCACTAAGCCACACCTACACATTTCTTTGTGGATTTCCACTGAGCACTTTGGATGTGGTCGTCCTCTCCTGGAGGCTAAAAAAGGCTGATGTCATGTATGTGGCCAGATGCTGTCAGTTGATCTCGATGTTAGGGGATTGGTCCTGTCATATTTCAATTCTAAATGTAGATCTCAATGACCCTGGGAGAAAATGTAAGCCATACAAATGGCTGTGTAGCCCCATTGGAAGAGAACTCAATAGTGGTGATGCAAGTAAGTGATAACGTAGAAAAGCACAAAGGACAGCTTAATCCAGGCCATTGCACACTGTGAAGAGAGAGAGCAAACAGCAAGTGATGAGTACTTTTGCAAGGCTGAGCAAGTCCTCCCAGATTATTTCTCCTTCCACGAGTTCTTTATGGTCCTGGACATGTTGTAGGCAGAAGGGTGTTCTCCTGTTCATAGTGTCTCCTGCATCCATCATGGTAGATTAGCAGCCCCAGAATGCAACGTCTCAGGGCTTTATTAGCACAAGTACCAGTGGGAACACCTGCCACTTCCATGTCTGAAATCTAACTTCTTGCTATAACTATCTGTTTATGTCTGCATTACACCAAAATAAGAAACTGCTTCCAGAAACACACGCATAAGTCTATTTTTATTTGACTTTATTTCAGTCCATTCCATTTTCTTCTGTTCTAGTTTATTATGAGATGGAAAAGAGTACCTAAAGCCTCCAAGGCCAGGACTGCTCTTTCTGCTATTAACATCTTCCTCTGCTGGCAGAGTATCAGAGTTCACCGAAATGCTGTTCTCCCTCTTTTCAGCAGCCTGCTCTCTTAATAAACTTGACTTTCTGTTGGGCACCGTGGCTGTCTCCACACTGGCTGTTCAGAGGGTGCTGCTGTAGAAGCATTTTGAACTTTCAGCTCCTTCTCTGAACACAAAGCTTGGCCCCAAACCAAAGAATGATGCGGAATCAAAAAGGTTTAAACAAATTGGACTAGTCGCCAGAAAGCAATGCAAGCAAAAGTTGTTTTGCCTCTTATTCTCCTTATGCTTTTTTGGCAGTAAAATCAGGAGCAAGTAACCAAAAGTTAAGTTACACTTGAAGAAGTTGAGCATAAACATCTTAATCTCTTGGGGATGTTTGAGGTTTCACAATCTCCTCAGCAAACTCTAAACTTGTGCTGCTGATCCAATTTTTCTGTCTACCTTTCAACAAATTAGGGATTTCTCCTTGGAGCCCGGGAATGAGAATCTGAGGAAAGCAGTCATAAAGTAATGCCTGGCTCTTGTTTTCAGAAGCCAGGACAAATCAGAGAAGAAATGGAGGTGGTTTCCTGCTATTGGGATTTCTCTGTATTTTGGCTTTGTGGTTGTTGTTGTTCTCTGATTACTTTGATGACTTTCAAGAGCCTTGTATGGAACAGAGAAGCTCCTGGAATTGTCTCCAAGAGGAGATCTCCTTCTTACTGCTCATGGCCTCTGCAGTGTCCCAGCCACACAGTACAATACAACGATGGCATCAGCAAGACATCCCTGACAGAGGCCATTCCCAATGCCTGTCATTACCCTATACCTTGTTCATCCTTTCAGAGCTTAGGAGGCCCTCAGGGTTGGAAGATTCTTCATTCAGAGACCTCCAGAAGAGCTAAGCAGAAGGAAATGACCATTATAGCAACCAAGGCCATTGAAACATGTGGTGCGTAGGATTTTCCAGAGAACCTCACAGTATACTCACACCACCTGTTCTGCGGCCACATCTATTACTTGGGCTGCATCTGATCTGCTCTACAAGGCTATCATTCCTAGTTCCTTCCAAGCTGCCCACGAATCCTTCCTCCTCCTCCTCACCAGAAGTGACCACATCTTCACGTGCTCTGGTATAACTGTGCGCTAATTGCTTCCAAATGAACTCCTCACAAAATTGTCTGGGTTTAAACCACAGCAAAAATAACAAAAAGTTCTCTTCTAAAGTTTCTAAGTTAGCCTAGATGATTTTGGCATGACTGGGTAAGGGTCTGAACACGTGTAGCTTTGCTTGGGGCTATGTAATGGCCATGAGCCGGGAAAAATAGCTTTTATGCTGATCTCAGCTGCAACTTGATTGAAATCTAATACAACAAGGATATCTTACAGTGGGGTCTACATTCTAAACCCAGGGTTTCCTAACTCCAGTTGCAGTATGACTAAGCAAGGAATAGGTACATCCACAGTTGAGATGTCACTGCTTCTCCCCATGAAATGCAGAATGACTCTGGACTCTGCCTTAAATGCAGCCTCAACACAAGATTACAGGGGTCATTTACACTCTTGTTCCATTAGAAGTCCAAACTCTTTCACCAGAAAAGCCACAGGCAGCATTTCAGTGCTCTCTGGTACACCCTCAAAGAATGTCTTGATAAATTAGAGGTAACACAGCCTAAGTTGCAGGTTCAGATATTGGAAGAAAATCAGAAATGTTTCCCACATGGGATCAGTCTTTCTTCTTACTTGAAATGAATATTCAGTCCAGTTCTCGACAGGAAGAAGCCAATATCGTGAACTCCACCACTACTACTTGAACAGGAATCCAGTCTCTGAAATGATTTAGCCTTCTGTTTATGTGCTTTTCATCTTTAAAATATATACAGTCTTGGATTTTGATTGATAGGCAGCTGACTGAAAGCTTCCTCCCTTGGCCAGAACACCCTGAATCTCATTGTTTATACTCTTGGGTGACAAACCAAAGCAATGAAGTCAGACAGCGTTCACTTGAACAGATATTAAAAGATGTCTGTGGTCCTTGAGTTACCAGTTGCCAATGGCCTGGTCCAGATGTCTGTGTTCAAGGAATGAATAAAAAAAAAGGTCAGATCGACTGACCAATTCAGGATCACCATTAATCCATGATAAAAATTAGTAAATGACTATTGTGTTTTCCTATGGCCTATACACAGCTGAGTCACATAGCCAAAACTCCAGTAAAGACAATGAATCTACTGCATTTGTGGGTGTCTAATTTCTCCTGTTGTGTCTGACTTAATAGAACTATATTTGGCCTTTTGCTCATGTCCAGAAACCCCTACTGACAATCTGCACTGCCACCTTGTGTGACTCTGGCTTTTATTCAGACTTGTTTTGAAAATTTCCCTATCCATTTCTGCTTTCATTTCAAACCAGAAATTGCTCATCTGATAACAAAACAACCTGTTTAGATCCAGAAAATTCACATGATTTGTACTCGTTGCATTCTCCCAAATGGACAACCCTACACAACCTCTCTTCTGCAGAAGGTCCTCCTACTTGTTTGCATCTCCTCACACCCTTTACATGCACACGCACACATAAAAAGAAAAAAAACAAAAAAAAACAAAGAAATGGTTTTCTATAGCCAGTGATGGGTGTGCACTGAGCAGTTTTAGAACCACACAGTCCTAATTTGTCATGTGTTTTGTTTTCCCTTCTGCATGAATACAAATCATGGCAATAGAAAAGGAGAAACAATTTTAATTGGCACAGAGATCATTAGTTTTTTTGGCAATCTAGTAATGTTTACACTTCTGTGGCTTCCAGATTTCACTAACATGTTGTAGTGATCTGTGTTTGAATTTGAGAGTGTTCCCTTCTGTTCACATCTCAGTCCCAGGTCCTGCAACTTCTGTGTTTGCTTCTTTGCTGGTCACTCTTTAAGACAAAGACAAAGACCAAACTAAACAATCTTCAAGTCTCAAAACATGAGCCTGCATTTTTTTTCCCTTTGCTATTTTAATTTTACTGGCCTTAAAAGAATCATAGTACTGGCTTTGCAAATAAGAGTGAGAAGGAGGCTGGAGGTAGATGGCTTACAAACTGTGTTTGAATGACATTCGAAGAAGTCATTGCCATGGCAGGGAGCATGAAATATTGTTGCTTTCTTTGGACATTACTAGGGTTTATGATTGTATGTCTTTGTTACTTTCTCTGTTATTTCTATCACCAGAGCATGGATCATCTACACATAAAATCACTTCTGTTCTGGGAGAAGATAAATATTGCCTATTTACCCCCTTGGACAGACAGGAGGTACAATACTTCTTCAAAAATACACTTTGAGGATCAAAGCTATGTCAGCCATCCTGTCTCTTAATCTGTTTTAACCACTGTGTAAAATTTCATTCTATTTCTTTGTATTATCCCCTCCTTTGCCCAGGTCACTCCTTGGTCCCCAGTGATACAGATGTCCTTCATTGTCTGGATGGTGCTCATGGAAGCAGGTGAAGACTGCCTTAATTTGTTTTTCCAGTACATCTACTCTCAGGTATATAAACATGCTACTTGACATCTAAGTTTGTCTCTGCTATTGAAATTCAGAGTAAAACAGAGCATTAGCACTCTTGGAAAGAGCTCAACTGAGTCAAAGTGATCTTGGACGGTCTAGGATTGGTCAGGAGAGTCACACTTCAGAAGTGCTTATTTCTATAACTACAAAAAACTTAAAATCTGAGAGACATGGAGAGAGGTGAAGAGAACCTCATTTTTTGTAACAAACCTAAGCCGTGTCTGGAAAGATTTATTGTCCAATCTTCCAAGACAGATCCATGTTTGCTCCAGTTTTGCTTTAATTTTGATTCTCTTTTTGCCATCAAAAGGTACGCAAAGAAGAAAAAATCAAAGTGTGTTGTGTGTCCTGAGCAGCAGAGTGATGGTGGCAAAGAACTTGTTTCACAGCTCCTACGTAGCCCACAGAATGCCTCCAATTGCTGCTGACCGTCTTTTGCACACCCTATTATTTCCATCATCTGTAGTCAGACAAGTTTGAAAGGATCCGTGCTTCCTCTGAGTCTCAGAAGTCTCTCTACCTTCAGTTCTTACCATGGGATCATAGTAAGATCTACCCTTACTCATATGTTTGATTTTAAATTTATAGATCCTGATTCCAAGCTATGGAGGCCAGACTGTAATTTTGTCCTGTTTATACACAAGTGAATGGAAACTAGTATGGAACAGTGTATAATTGTTCTCAAGCTAACTGAAACCTGGCTTGAAGTAATTTAGTTTAATGCAATAAGGCCTCAACTGGAAGAACAGGAGCTTAATAAGAATCTGATTAAGGTGATCCTTGCAGTGCTTTCAAATGTGATTACAGGCAGAGCTGTACTTCTTTGGATCTATCAGGAGCATGTGGCTATGGTATCACTCTCAGCTGTTTCCTATCCTTCTGTCAGCTGCAAGGTACTGCCACACTGCTGTCTGACATTAAGGAAACCAATTCTACTGCCTAGCACATACCCAGCCCAATTTAAAGTAAAGTTGAATGGGAGGCATAATTGAGTTTGCACTGGCATGGTTTAGAGGTGTTTGCATGGAGGGCTTAGCTGATGAAGCAGTAATAAGTAGGAGACATATCATCTGAGGTGAGCAAAACTGTTTTAAAATTGATCATGAATGGGATTCTCCTAGGAATCTCCATCTTATTTAGTTATTTTAAACCTCATCATAGTGAAGATCTACCCATCCAGCCAGAGGTGCAATTCATCTCTTAACACAAGTACTTAGGCACAGGTCTGCTCTCATTTTGGAAGTGTTTTTCTTCCCTGGCTGGGAAATGTTTGAGGGTAGATCATATACTGTGAGCCTTATTTCAACTATATTTAAATCTGACATCTCCATCTAAGTTGGAAAATTCAGGCTCAGTCATACACAGTAGAGAAGGGGGCATTTTTGCATCGTAGTTGAATCTCTTAACATTGCTCAGTTTAGGACAAGAGGAAGAGAAATCCAGACTCCAGAAACTACAACATAGCCAGGTATGACTAGATCAGATATAAACCTCTTCATTTTGTGATGTGGATTCCCCTGTTCACTGAAAGAGACATTCCTCACCAGGTTTGGAGGAGGCACGTGGAGACTGACAGTAACTGTGAGATTGGAGAGACAAGCAACATTAACAAGGTGATACTGCATGGAGCTGGTGGTATGTAATTCTTCACAGCGGTATTCCATTTTCACTACATAACTACGAGCCATCCTTTGTTTTGCAATATAACTTCAAGCCATGGGGAGTAGCCAGGTCTTTGCAATGCAAAGTGCTGGACAAACAGAGGACAAAAACCAGCCACGGGTCCTAAGAGTTTGTCATTCCAGTGAATGCAAGACAAGGGTTTATTTTGGCCCATGGCTCTATTGTGAGGATCCAGATGTAGTAACTGACACTCAATTCAAATGAAAACAAAAAGGAGAAGAGTAGAGTTGGAAGAATGGATGAAAGAAATTGAGAGCTTGGATCAGGGATTAAAAAAAAACAGAATTACCAAGGCCTGGTGCAGCAGTGAAATGAAAGCCATGTGTCTGAAAACAAGTCCTGCAGCCATACAGAACACACAGTCACAAGAAAAATAAGGAACAAACCAAACCTCCCTTTCTGGAAGAGGAAATGCCTGGATGTGAGTGCACACAGCCACTGCTAAGGACATGGCTTACGGTGCACAATGTTGTCACCAAAGGATCTATCTTGAATGCCCTGTTTTTCCCAAGGAAACCCTGCATATCAACCACCTTTCAATATCTGAAGAGGAGCTGTAACAAAGAAGGGGACAGAACCTTTTTCAGGGTCTGTTGTGACAGAGCAAGGGGAAATGCAATGTAGGGGTCATGACCTAGAGCCACGTGAGCTACATAGTCTGGACCTGGAAGTCTCGAGGCCAGTGATGCCATGCTGTAGCTCTTGGATATTGCTGCACATGGAGCATATAACTGAGTGTTGAGTCAGCAAAAGGCATTTCTGTACTTCCAGATGATAAATATACATGCATGACAGACATACCCTGTTCACGTGTGCCATAAGAAAGGCAAACTGTGATGATCCCAACCTCACAGTCATTACAAATCTGAGTTCTCTAATATTCAAATACTAAGAAGCTCTTTAACTAAAATACTCTGCTACAAAGAGCTGTGAAAGAAAACTATACATCTCTATATATATACTTAGGAATTATCAAAGAGTACATGAAACTCACCCACTGCTTCTAGGTATCTAGAAAGGACATCAGAGTGAGTGCTCAAGTGATGCCCTCCACGGACACCAGAATCTATGATCTATTCCTTAGCTCCAGACTGAAATCTTCACCCCTAAGTGTTCACTGAGGACAAAGCCATACTCTCATGCAATAAACAAAAGAAGCATGATGCATCCGGGTTTATTTAACAACCACAGCAGCAGCAGCAGGAGTCAAATTTCAAGAGGATGCAGTGACTTTATGGAATGAACTCTGTATGACAAATAGATTTTCAGAAACCATAACACGCCCATGGATAGATAGGAAGAAAGACTTCAGATGCACTTTCCCAAGTGATTGCTCCTCTGTCTTTTTTCGTATTCAGGCTGGCAATGTTTGGATTTCTTTCAAATTCTAGGATAGATTTTCCAGAAGTTTCTAAAAATCAGTTCTCATCAAACACCTTTCAGTGGCGATTGAAACAAGCCTGAAGGATAGTGAGAAAATAGTAATAATTCTGCATTAACTAGACTGCAGCCACAGTCAATCTGATATAGCATAACACCACTTAATGCTGCTATACCAATTAATGCCAGTTGCTAAGCAATACATCATTCACATCGTTTGCCCAGCACAAGACCCTCAGCTTGAGGCACAGATTTGGGTACGTCAGAATTTTATTGGAATAGATTTTCCACTATTCTCCATCAGCTATGACTAGCAGCCCTGGACCTGACCTTCTCAATCCAGGGAGTTTTATGTCTGTAGCCATTGCCCACAAAACACAGATAAGCTGTCCGTGCTGTGATTTATTTGTGACTGAAAACAAGGCATGGGAGAACGTGCCAGTGAGAGTTCTGTGTTCCCACAGCCTCCTTGCATAAATATTTCTCTTTTGTCAGCAGTAAAAGGTCTGGGATGCTGATGCAGAAGATAAGGATGCAGCTGTGCCAGCTCTGCAGAGTTGAAGCAGATGGGCTGTGTGTTTGTATGTGTGCTCAGTTCTAAAGGAGACACAGATATCTGGGGAAGAAGTGGCTTCTGCAAGTGCCAGTTGCACTTTGGAGCACTAATTATTTCCTGCTGGTTTCAGCAAGAAGCTGAACCTCTTACGTCTCCAAGGTCCAGTAAACATGCGATATCTTCTTAAAAGCCCCAACCTAGTTCAATGCATAGCTTGAATGCTTTTCTTGGGCTTTTAAGAATGATACATCTGGAGCCACAATTGTATAAGGAAAGAAAAAGCCCCCATTTCCCAATAGAATGATGATGATGGCAGATGATAGAAGATCTCTTCAGCACCATATTTTGGTACTCATTAGCAGGCCTGGGAGAGGTTTAATTCAGGGCTGCCTCACATCAGTTATTCCAGAACTGCTTCTAGTTGCATTTGAAATATACGATGTTGGCCTGTGTGTGAGTGTGAACACCAGCCTGGGGGTTTGGTTCAGTCTTGCAAGTCCACAGAGATGTGAAGCCAAACAGGAATATATTAACATTAGAATGTGCATGCAAGCACACATGGAATCATACAAACACAGAATGGCTTGGGTTGGAAGGGACGTCCAAGATCATCTAGTTCCAGCCCTCTGCTGTAGGCAGGGTTGCCAGCCAATAAATCAGGCACTAGATCTGCCCAGGATGCCATCCAAGCTGGCCCTGAACACCTCCAGGGATGGCAGATATATGAGAGTACATGCACATTGATACATGTATGTTATTTATCTGTGTGCAAATTTGTGGCTAGAGTACTTATACCAGATTTGCTCAACTGATGCAGTACTGATGTACCCTGGTCCTTATAGTATATCAAAGTCTTATGATATATGATATACATTCCTTGTCAGCAGGGTGAGAAAATGGCTCAAGTTCTGAATAAAACCCTTTGCGTATACAAGCACACATGTGGATGAACATATGCATATACACACATGTACATACTTCTTTTTTTTTTCCTGATGCTTTTCTGAAGCTGACAATGGTCAGCTCTGCATTGTTTCACTCATGGATAATTAAGTCACTAATATCTTAAAGGACAAAAGCTGCTTTGAAATGAATGTCCTATTTCCACTATTCTCAAAGTCAAAACAAACAAACAGAAATCACCAGTTATGATCTTAACGAGCATTTGGCCCACATAAGCTAATCTGATTTAAATTACTGGGATATGCAGCAATGCAGTTACTCCAAAGCCAAATATTGTACTCACCCTGCTTCCATCGTTGTCTATTGTCTCTGCTGTTTGACTGGAGGAAGTTCAGATATTGGTACAATGAAGTTCTGCATTTATTCTTCTGCAATATACTGATGTGTTATTGTTACACCTTGCAAAATGTACGTAATGTTTCACACTGGTTCCATTTTTTGTTTCTTACTTTTCATTTCTCAATATCCTCTATCAGTTGATGGGTTCAACAACCTCTAGCAGTTGTTGGGTTCATCAGAAATAGATGCTTTAACCTGCTGGCACAGCTATTGAAAGAAGGAAAAAAAAAAAGAGCTTTTTAAAAGAAAATATGACTCAGAGGAACAAGATAAAGCACCTTTGAAGATCATTTCTCATGTTCTTGTAGAGATGAGAATCTGTATAAATCTAGAATGCTTCTACAACAGGAAAGTCCCTGGACTTCTCTCTGCTGGTGCCTTCCTGGGGAACACCTATGCAAGCCACTTCATGTTTCTGATTCCCTTCCCAGTCTTAGTCTTTTTTGAGGGTGTTATCCCAATCTCCATGCTGCTTTTCCAAAAGATACTATATAATATCTAACAGCTCTGTTCAGCTATTCCTGGTGGCCAGGGAAATCAGTAAAGGTATTTGCATGAACTGTCTGAAAGAATCATACAATAGTTTGAGTTGGAAGAGATTGTTAAAGGCCATCCAGTCCCACTCCCCTGCAATGAACAGGGACACCAACAGCTCCATCAGGTGCTCAGAGCCCCATCCAAACTGACCTTCAGTGCTTTCAGGTGGGTATCCACCACTTCCAGGGACAGGGCAACCTGTTCCAGTGCTTCTTAAACCTTATTGTAAAAAACTTTTTCCTTATATTCAGTCTAAAAAGAGATAAGTAAAGAAAGCAGTGATCCATATGTGCAGTTTCTTCTGCTGTTTTCCCTTTCACAATGTCTGATGCAACAAGGTCATTCAAAGACCTGAAAACCTGCTGGCCTTCAGCTAATATCTCCATCCTCCATACAGCAGAATGAATCATGGAGATGTCCCTGCTGTCTTATAACTCTATGGGACTTCAGCTGATGCTCACAGTCATAGAAACATATAGTTTGGAGAAGACCTTCATGATAGAATCATACAGTGTTAGAACCATAGAATGGCTTGGGACAGAAGGGATCTCAAAGATCACCTAGTTCCAACCCCCACACATGAGCAGGGTTGACAATCCATAAATATGGCTCCAGATCAGTTTGTCCTGGGCTCCATCCACCTGGCCCTGAACATTTCCAAGAATGGGACACCCACAACTTCTGTGGGCAACCCACGCCAGAACATCAACGCCTTCTTAGTGAAAAAATCAGTAGAAGAATGTGAAACACAACCATTAAACAAATTGTTTTCTACTCCAAGCATCATTCACACAGTGCTCACTCTGAATCCAAAAAATGAGCCGGGGTTAGCGCTGCAGACAAGCTAGACGGTTGCATGCAAGTGCTGAGCATCTAGTCTCCAATCATGGAAAAAGAAATTGAGACAACCTGTGGTTTCCCCGTGTTTTTTTTTTTTTCATTCCTGGCTTTCCCCTCTGCTCATCTAAGTCTTTCTTAGAGCTGTTCAGTGAAATCATTAATGCACAACAGTAGCTCATATCATACTTTGGATGTAGATCCACACACGGTCTCTTCCCCTAGCCCAACATTTTTCTTTCATCCTCCATAGAGAATCAAACTTCCCATTCACATTTTGAGTAATCAAGAATGGTCTATGTATTTCTAAAAGAATAACTGCAGCAGTTCACTATCATGGTAATAGCTCCAGGAGAAGGTATACAGATAATCCTTAAAGCAGCTAAGAATGGTACAAGCAGATCTTCAGATTTGTCCACTGTTCATCAAAAGAAAGTTGTGTTATCAATAAGCTTTTTAGGCAATCTTTCCATTTTTTAGTGCAAAACATAGATTTTTTTTCCCCCAGACATTTAATTTATGAAAAAAGAACAAGTTAGAACAAGCACCAACATATCTGAATGGAGAAAGGTTGACACAATCCTTCCTGGCAACAGAAAATGCGTCTTGGCTTTCTCAGTGTTCAGGTCCCAAAGCTAAACTACAATTCCCTATATCCAACTGTATTCATTTACATTTTTTGCCATGATGTATTGCACCATCCCGTGGGTGCAACCCATGGAGGAGAGTAGGGACACCTGAGCTCTGGTGTCCACAAATACATTTCTTGGTGGATGTATTCATAGCATTTGAAATTTTGACAAACAAAACAAAATGCTATTCCCCTCTCATTTTCCCAAGAAAAAAAAGTTCTGTTGCTGTTGTTCTTAACAACTCTCTACAAAAATAAAAAAAAAACCTTCTATTTTTTTCCTTATTCTTCTCCAATTAAATAGGAAAATTCCTCATCAGAAACAATGCATGAGGACCAGAAGCCCCAGACTGATTAATGAACCACCCTTCCTTTCTTGTAGCTTAAATTTGAAAGGTTTCTCATCTGACACACCAAGCTTTTATTTCCAGGTCAGTTAAAACTTGTGGACGCCCTTTGGTGTGCCACATTGAGTTCTGGCACTATAAAATGTTGTGCAAACTGGTGGCAAAATTAGAAGCTGCAGACAGAAAAAAAAAAAAAAAAAAAAAAAAGTAAAAAAATGATAAGTATAAAGTATCCATCTCTGGCTGAGCCGGGAGAATTAATCCCCTGAATTTCTACTGTTTACTTAGGAAAAGAACACAAGACATTTTTTCTTATTTTTTTTTCCTCTGCCCTCCTCCCCCAGCAAGGAAACCAGAGAACAGCTTTAAAAATACCAAACCTTCAGCATTTTCACTTAATTACAGAGCAAAAGTCGATGAGGGCACAGCATGGCTTCCTTTTTGCACTGCTGCCTGCATTTTTGGGTAGCTGTTGTTTCCTTTAATGTTTTAGGCTAGGGATTGGTTTTGTTTTTTTCTTGTTTGCTTTCTATTTTGGACATGTTGTATGGCAACTCGATCCTTTGGTTTTGGGAACTGTTGGAGCTTTTGTTCAAGTTTTATGGAGACTTCATTGCCTGAATGGTGCAGAAACTCAAGTGACACAGCCTAGCCAGTGGTTGATGCGTGTATAGGTACCAGGAAAAAAAGTTAAACACCTAAAATGGGGAGGAGTAGAATCAGTAGAAACAGTTAAAATGGATAGTTTTCCACCCTCTGGGGAGATTCTCTATTTAAAGCTTCTTTTGGTACATGGACTCATAGAATCATTACTGTTGGAAAAGATCTCTGAGATCCTCTAGTCCAAATGTCAAGCCAACATCGCCATGCTTACTGAACCATGCACTCACATCAGTATGTTATCTTATGTAACTATTATATGTCCATATATATATCTTTGCATGTGTGAGCTTGGGAAAGAGCTAAGCAGAAGTAGCTGGTAGATTATGGTCAACAAAGCTCTGGAAACTCAAGGAGCAGCTTAGAGTGACTGAAATTGGTTGGTGGTGTGGAAATCAGTAGTGGTGATGTAGCCCTGCATATCATTCAAGGCCAGGTTGAATGGAACCTTGAGCAACTTGGTGCCTGATTTAGGGGTTGGCAACCCTGCCTGCAGCAAAGGGGTTGGAAATGAATGATCTTTGAGGTCCCTTCCAACTCGAGCCATTCTGCAGTTCTGTTAGTCTATGATTATTTATGGACTGTGTAGGATCATCAAAGGAGATGCTCGTTGGCCTGAAACTGTGGTGGCTGCTCACCTAGAGAGAGCTGACTCTGTTTTCTCCAAATCTGTTGCTCTCTTTCCTTTTTTTCTATCATTTTAACTCCAAAACAGCCCTTCAGAATGAAAAACACAGGGTTGCAGTTTCTGGAATCAACCAAAATCACTTACAAAACCCACCTAAAAGCCTTTCTCTTCACCTTGTAAATCTGTAGATCACCAAGGGTTACAGTGGTATCTTCCTTCCAGCAGGCTGATCCCTGAAATCCAAAAGTTGATTTGTTTCCTTAGATAAAAAAAAACACAATATGTGTTCAGGCTGCTGACAGGATCCTTGGAATAAAATCCTCTATTAGACACTTAGCAGTTGTGCAAGAGCTTTAGGATTTTGTTTGGTTTTGCTCCTAAATAATAAGAGGATGAATAGAAAGAAAAAATAATCCAAATATTTTCAACCCCTTCTGATGTTTTTGTTAAACACTGGGATCTTTAAATATCTTAATAGCACATCTGCATCTTTAATTCTTGGCATCATGAAGAAACTACCTAGCTAAGTGGAAATGTAAATAAAGGCCATTTTCAGCTAACAAAATGACATTCTGCATTACCCACCAATCCCAGATAGCTAGACCTGGTTATTACAAATCTCTTTGATTGCTTCAGCCAGACCACAGAGTTCCGTGCAAGCCAAGAGCCATCCCCTTTACTGCAGTTACGAGCTCTTAAAGATGATTTTAGCTGGCAGTTTATTTCATGTAGTCATTGAGCATTCTGTTGACAGAGCATAGCAAAGCCCCAGAAGCTGGTCTTTGGGATGAAAGGACCCAAGGGTAGTTATGAGAACTGTCATTTCCCAATTGTTTTCTTTTTCAATCTTATTGCACCAACTCTGTGCATAGATCTACAATTGTTTGAATGGAGTCTAGCAACAGTATGAGAAGGAGAAAGGGGAAAGAGGAGGGAAAGGGGAAAAGACCTGCAGAATTTTTTCCTTTCTGTAAGACTCATTGCTTCCAACAATGATCACTGAAATAATAAACAGTCCAGGCATGTCTCCCATGTGTTCCCAGACCTAAAAAACCAGTGACAATATGGACATTAACGTTTGTATTATGACAACTAATAATGTTTTAGTTCACAGAAGACCCATTTTACCAGGCAGCAGACAAGCTACAAGGACCGTATTCTGGCCAATACATTCAGCTTGGCTACTGTGGCATTTATGGGCAATGGATTGTTCAGACAGTGGGACAATTTCACATGATGTCACCCACAGTGAAGCCACAGGCTGTAGCAACTACCCACTAACAGCAGTGAGTGGGCACATGCAGGGGATGCTGTTGTGATGACTACACCAGGTGGAACTCAGCACTCTGTGAAGATCATCTACTTCTTTTGACTACATCAGGAAAGCCAGTAACTGACACTGGGCTTTTAATGTTTATGTGGATAAAGTTAGGTAGGATTAATCCCTCAATTTCTACTCAGGACTGCCAGACCCTGATTTCCCCACTGTCACTGCAGAGAAATGGATGTGACCCTTGTGGCAGGTAGACTGATACAGGTCTCAGGAAAGAAAACACAAACCCACATGGTCATAGAGTCTGCAATCTAAACAGTCATAAAAGAGCAAAGGCAGGAAGAAGAAAAAGAGATGACACATTTTACTTAAAGTTAGTGTGAAGACTGAAACAGGAACTCAGATGTGAGAAAATCAAATGTTACAAACATGGCCAGTTTCCAGTAACTCTCCTAGAAAAATGTAAAAAATATACACATCCTTCCAAATGCATGTCCCAGGTAGGAAAAAATGACCCTTCTGTTGATGTCCAGGGATGTCCTTGAAATGACAAAGACCATTCAGCTAAGTGGTCTTTGTTGTTTCCTTCCATCCTATCCTAGGCACCTCTACTGTAGTGATTGTCAAGGCTGTGAATGAGGTGAGGATTTTCCAACAAGTCATCCACACCCAGGTAAAAAATATTCCTTGGTGGATAAGTTATTCTTAATGCTTCACATTCCAGTTGGGATCCAAAATTTAAGCATCCCAAATTTTAAGCGTCTGAGTATTTCCATTGAGTTTAGACTACAGCTCCCTGTCCATTGCTGTATAAGAAGCAATTCATCTCAAGGCAGTTGTTTAAGGTCAAATACGGAGACAAATGTGCTCCATAATGTATCTGCTACACTTCCTTTACCTCAAAGAAGCTTGAATGATGACCTGGGGATAGAGAAAGTCCCTTTGCTGGACCAACTAGAACAATTGTAATCTATCAGCAATGCCCTACTGTCACTTCAATGGCTTGTTACCCTCCTAGAAAAAAAATAATGTCTCAAGACCTTTCTCATCTGGTTGTCTCCATGTGTGCAACTTGATTGCTGGGAGGAACCAAAAGAAAAAAAGAGCTATTTTCACTAGCTGTCCAGTCTCCCTGTGCCAAGGTGAAGCTCTCAATACAAGTTCATGTGACCTTTTGAAAGAGTGAAAAACTGTGAGTTCAACAGTGGTCAATATGAAAGTGCCATGACCTAACTGTCTAACACATACTAAGCTTGTGTCAATGAGACAGAAGATCTGATAGTATCTGATGTAGTAAACTGCGTGTACCTGGAAACCTCAAAGTGTGACAAATTGACATCTGGGCTGGAAGTGGAAGAACTGAGGCATGGTTAAGAGGGGATGCAGACTAGACAGAGGATAGAAGTGTGCTTGCTGGTGGGCTGTCATAAGATATGATTCATGTAAAAGAACAGCTTTTTAAGGATAACAAAAATCTATCCATTGGAAGAAATAAATCATGACTGATTGATTATGTAGGAGATTTTCTTACTAAATGCTGTTTTTCACCAAGAAAGAAATCCGAGTGTCGAATCACAAATTGAGCTGTATGGCTGAACAAAAATGAGTTGAGATCCCTTTCAAAATGGGATTAAAAGCATCCTCTGCAGCAGTCAGTAAATAAACAACCACGTCATGCACAACCAGAGGTAGTGATGCTGCACCCGGCAGAGATCATCACCCTGTTCTGCATGGGGTGCCAGTAATGAGCAGGGGCAGCACCAGCATTTATAGGAAAGAGCTAACATTTTTGCAAAATGTGGAGTGAAATAGACATTAGTCTCCTGATGGTGCAGAATCTCAATGTCTGAATTAAAGGAGACAAAGCCCTGAATTCAATTCTGCCTCCCCAAGGCTGGGAGGAAAATGCATATGAGAGAAGACAGATGGGATGAAAGTTATCATGGTGCCAAAAGGAAGGCATACCTTTTCTGTGAAGCCTACAAGGGATGTTGTTCCTTTCATACTCAAATCTATACTCAAGAGGGTAAGAAGAGAGGTTCCAGAAAAACAAACAAGCAAACAGCAAACAAGTAAAAACATTGGTATTATTTTACTGCTTCTGATCGTGTGCAAGCTTAGTCTACCATAACTGATGACAGTGCTGCTGTCAATTTTCATGGACGTTTACTAACTTAGCATTAGAGGAAATATTCCCCTGTGATGATGAATGCATCCACTTTAAGATTCAGCATAGCACATGGTGGTTTGCCTAGCAAACAGAAGTAGATCTCCATGTGAGCTAGAGCCTTCTGTGTAGATAAGACTGAGGTTTAGCCAACACAGCAGAAAAGCAGGGATAAAGAATGTCTGAATGTCACATCTCCAGCCTCTTGAATGGCTCTTTAGATACACAGATTCCAGTGTTGCAACCCTGACACAAGCCTCACATTTTCTAGCACACACACATAAAACCACACTCCCGAAAGATGCTAGGGTTGTACCTATGTTGTAATAATTGCAGGCGTAGAGCAGGGAGTTAAAATGTAAGCATGGGGTTTTCTCTGTTTGCTTTTGTTTGTTTTGTAGCATGACAAACTGCTGCCCTTGGTAATTAAATGTAATAAAAGCAGGTATTTGTGTGGTGAGATTTTGAAAATTTAAACACTCAAATTCTCAACTCCTAAGACCAATATCACAACGTCCCATATAAACTTCAAGTTCTTATAATTATTAAAATTATGTTGTACTTTGAACTGTGCAATAGTCCAAATGAGGGGAACAAGGGGAAAGAGAAATAAGAATGCCACTGCCCATCTCTAATGATCAGCTAGATCCCAGGAAGCTACCAGCAGCATAGTTGTCCTCTATTTAAACACTTCTTACGTGGATACCACACAGCACTTTCACAGAAAATGAATGTCAGAATGGTTAAGGTTGGAAAAGGCCTCTAAGATCCCCAAGTCCAACTCCAACCCACCCCACCATGCCCACTGACCACATCCCTTAGTGCCACATCTCCATGGTTCTTGAACACCTTCATGGACAGTGACTCCAGCACTCCTCCCTGGGCAAATTTCCATGCAAGGCTAGTATCAGAATACTAGAAGAGACTGCAAGACCTTGATGCTATCTACCTCTATAGCACACAAATAAGCTCATCAATATAATGGGATCTGCATGAGGAGCCCATTCAACAGCAGGAGTTTCTACATGAGGCTCATTCCACAAGGGGAGCAGAACTGATCCCTTTACTGAGAATCCAGCCCAAATTAGATGTCTGAGTCTACAAAATATGACTAATAATACATAGAGGTCACTAAAGCAGTATTTTATTTGTTTTTGTAACAGATAACAGAATTCTGGTAGTATGGACAGAAAATCAACAGTTCCAGCCTGACCAACCTACAGAAAGTTATGCCACTTTGCCTCTTACTCCAGACCATACCAATACACAATATGGATATTTAATTTATCCTTTTAAAATCTGGGCCCTGGTAATATTTTCTTCAACTCTAGTACAGCTACCACTGGAATATTTCTGCCAACATGGGGCAGGACACTCAGTTCTAGTTTCAGCACTGTTTGCTTTGTGAGGTTCTGAGTGACTGGCCCCATTGTTCAATATTGAGGCAGATACTCTGAGTCATTTCTCCTTGTAGAAAATCTGTTTCCTATAAAGAACTGTCAACTCCATGAGTCATTTACCTTTGTCACCAGTTGGAACCAGAGAAATGATGGAGGCCTGGGCACTGAAAGCAGAAGCTTCCCCTGGGAAATACTTAATGAGTTTGATCTTCAGCACAGCCAAAAGCAAAAGAAGTTCCAGAAAGGGCACATACAAGTCCTAGGCTAATGGTCCAGATGTGGGGAAGGAGCTTCTCCTGGCCAAGAAATAGAAATGCCTCAGAGACAACCCTAAAACAGTAACCAGGCATAGGGTGGAACCCCATTCCCCATAGGATTTAGCCGGTGGATCCCACCTTAAATTACTCCACGGAGTTCGTATGCACATGAGCAAACATCTTAAATGTCATGAATCATGTCACACGTTCAATGTGAAACTCTGAACAAGGTCTTCTCTTATTACTTCTGTAGATCATCCGGAACATTTTGTACTTACAAAGCAGCGTCAGAGTTTCTCTTTCACTCCACAACCATAAGTGTCCAGCTCTGCTTTGACTTACTGGAGCCAGTGCCTAAACTTGTG